GAAGGGAACCCTGGAGGACACTTTATCTCATTTCTCTTCTAGAAGGGCGCCCAAGAGGCCACGTCATAATTTTCCTCCAATGGAAGATCACCCTACAGTGCGCTTTATCATGTTTTCTTTTCTAAAAGGGCACTTTTAGGGCAATTCTAGGGCAATTCATCATGTTTTATCTACCCTAGAGGTATCCAAGAGGGCACTTTTGCTGCATAATGCGTCCACATGATCCTCAAATTGATTGCAGTGTTCAGACGAAGTTTGGGAGAAGGGTCATTTTAGTGCTATAATCTTTATCGTTAAGTCCAATGCTTTTAAACAAAAGCTTCAGCTCGTATTTACTCTGCTCTGTATGTACACACCAACTCAACCAAGAAGTGACGACCATGAGAAAGATACTTTTTTTAAATTTTCATTTCGTGCCTGACTCCAGAAAGATTTCATTCCAGAGGTTTAAAGTACATTCTGACATTTTCAAACATTAAGATTAATGGATCAGTCTTTCAACACTGTGTTCTCAGTCACGCTGTATTGACAGTGAATACTACTCTGTCAGAGGTTGGCAGGGAAAACCAACCAACCCACGCACACACACTGAGCTACCTGATCATCTCTCTCTCTCTCTCTCTCTCTCTCTCTCTCTCTCTCTCTCTCTCTATGTCTTTTGCTCTCTTGTCCTGACCCACTTTGTTGAGCGGAAGAAGAAGAACAACAAGTATTTTGGGAACATTATGTCCCGACTGGCCCTCCTCCTCCCTCTCCTCACCCCCCCTCCCTCCTCCATCACTCCTCTGATGTTCATCTTTTTTCCCCATCAGCCCCTCCTCAATGCTACCATCACCACGACTCCCCCATGTCAACAAGCAAAAATAATTTTTACACAATGGAACATGTAGCAGCACTTTCACTTCTCTTCTTTTCAGCTTCACTGAAGTCTCTGAGACAGAATAGAGGTGATGTTTGAGTGTGATAGTGTTGACAGAGCAGGCTCAGACTGGTTAGAGGGCAGATACACAAACATACACACCTGTGAGGACATCGTCACACTGTCTTTCAGAGTTGGTACATGTACGAATTTAGATGGAGTGATATTTTTCACTCCCAATACATCAAAACGTAATACCACAAGCATGAGAGTTGTGATTTAGATCAGTAAAATATCCAATGAAAAAGCTACAGGACTAAGAACCTGACAAAGCATTTGATGGCAACTTGGTTTCTTCAGACAGATTACGGAGCCATGTGTTTGGATAATGTGGCTGGGTGTGCTCATTAGACACCTGTTGAAACGTCTGAGGAAATCCAAAAGTTACTGACACGAACAAAAGTTAGTTCATTCCTAACATACATTTTAATTTTATTTTATTTTATTCTCCAGTTTGTCAATATCTTTGTCTTTGTGTGTATTTGACCAGATGTGTGAACATGTTGTCAAAAATAACAAGGGATGGAGGAAATGATGGAGGGTGAGAGAAGTTAGCTGTCACAGTGCAGGGGTTGTCTCTAACGACGTAATGGAAAAATCACTCAAGATTAACATGAAACACAGGAAATGCTTTCAATTGAGTCTGATTGCCTTGTGTGTGTGTGTGTGTGTGTGTGTGTGTGTGTGTGTTTGTGTGTGAGAACTCCTTCTGCAGCGGCTCCTGTTTATTGACAGGATTTGTTAAGCGATATTAAAGCTTTTCTAACAAACAAATCCCACAAAGGTTATTTCCCTGGAACACAATGTGACACTGATTCAGGGTCAGAAGGGTTGTAACATGCTAAGCCACTTTGTCCAGGTCAGGGTTTAAACGAGAGACGGGGAACCACTCGGACCAGTTGCTTTTCTTACCACTGAGCTCTCAACCTATATCACTGTTAAATGGCTTTAAAACCATGACTGGCTTGGTACTAACTGGTCCTGGTAGTTTGTGTGTATTTGAATTACCGCTCTCTTTTCTGCCCCGAAAAGACCAGAAGCAAGGCAAAGGTGTACTTTGTAATAGTGCTCTCTGAAATGCTAAAGCATGTTTGTGATGTTTTCTGTTCATATACTAAAATACCTTGTGTTTGTGCCGCTATACCTGATGGAATTTTCACTCTCATGAACTCACAAATCTCATCTTTTGATTCAATGAATAAGCTTATATATAATAATAATAATAGTACTAAAGAATCAAAGCGTAAAGAAAACTGATTCAATTATTTAGCAATAAATAAATTAAGATAATTAAAATGTTGCCCATTCCCTGCTATGAAACATAGAATATTCGCCTCCTTCTCATCCTACAAAACCACACAAGACATCTTCACATAAATAAATATTATTCCATTAGTGCGGCTGAACACATGTAGCCACTTAATATTGAGTTTTCCTGCAGCGAGGTGATGTGTAATACAAAGATTAGCGTCAACAGTCATTTGAATTCAATCACAAATGCATTAAATTCGTATGCTATTTTTCTGCCCGGCTGCAGGCGGCCAATTCAGATTTAATGTGCTGGGAGTCGCCTGGAGGTGAGATATGTAAACAGGCAGCCAGTCGCCAGTTTAATCTTTCATCTGGGGAAATACAGAACAAGTGCTGCTCTTTCCTGCCTCAACATGGGGCCGTCAATGTGCCTTTAAGCAAGGCATCGTCCCCAGTACAGCACTGTGGTTGTATTGGGGAGCTAAGAGTGATGAAAGTTTTGGATTTCATGCCAAGTTCGCTTATGATGACCTGAATATGAACTGTTGAGTGAAAACTTGATTGAAAGCCAACTGTCAAGCTCCACTGCATCTGGTATGTCATGTTGTTTTTCCATAAGACTTGAGGCACATTAGCATATCGTTCATGGTTTAACTTTGCACAAAATCTGGATTCCTGCCATGATGTTAAATTGTATATTAAACTCAGGAAATATTCGGATTTTCAAAATGTAATTTGCAAGGCAAACATGTTCCAGCATGTTTCATGTTTTTTATGGTAAATAACTTACTTTCCATAAATTCACTGTGTTGAGGGTGCACAGTATACACACCCAGAGAGACTGGTTCATAATCAGCATCTCTTCAGAATGTTCTGTATATTTTTCTCACAACCTTATACTGTATAGTGCAATGAATATCCTGTCAGAGCAAAGAATGATGGGACAGAAAAGAACAAACTTTTTTATTTATTTTTATTTTGGAAGCTCGCTAAAACAGGACAGTTGCATAAGCTCTTGACTTTAGAAACACGCACACGCACACACTCTGTCTCCTCCCTGGCTTGTCAGGGCGGCTGTTTGAAACCACCTTGGGCTGAACGGCTGCATCGGCTACATCGAGGAGATGTTGACATTGTTGTGGCCATCAACCATCAAGCCCAGAGCTGCAGCATTCATAACCACCCTTGTCATCTCTCAACACTGCTTCTCTTATCTCTCATACTGCCCCCCCCCTTCACCTCTTTCTCCCATTCAACCCTCAACTTTCTCTCATTTCTTAGGTCTGTTCCTCTTCACATTCTCCTCCTTTAAATACGAAAACAAACTTGTGGATCATGATTGTTGTAAATTCCAACTTTTCTCAAATTTGTGGTCATTTATGAGAAGCATTAGTTTCACAAGAGATGGCATTGAAATAAAAACAATATCTAACAACTTCTTGGTAATGCCATTCCTCCCAGTATGCATAGAGTATTTTGCCAAATCCCTCTTGCTAATCCCTCCTTTCACCCGTACAACCCTCTGGCTCTGCAGAGACTTGAAGCTGGACAACATACTGCTGGATGCAGAGGGTCACTGTAAGCTGGCAGACTTCGGGATGTGCAAAGAGGGCATCCTCGATGGAGTCAGCACCACCACCTTCTGTGGGACGCCAGATTACATCGCACCCGAGGTGACCTCAGACAACAACGTCCACACCCACAAACTTAAACTTGTATTTGTCCATGTTCGACTCTTTGCTGACGATGATCAATTTTTCATTGCTAATATGGAGTTGAAAGAAGAACATTTTAGCCTTTTGGTGGGAGGCTTTTTATGTCGCAGAACTTGACAGAAAAATTTGAAATTTGAAAAACTTGCATAATTTCACGTAGGTGTAATGTACTTTTTGTCTGACTACCTGTTTGTACGCCTCCTCATTTTTATGTGTGATTAAGATCCTTCAAGAGCTGGATTACGGCCCGTCAGTGGACTGGTGGGCTCTGGGGGTGCTGATGTATGAGATGATGGCAGGTCAGCCACCATTTGAAGCCGATAATGAAGATGACCTGTTTGAGTCCATCCTCCACGACGACGTCCTCTATCCCGTCTGGCTCAGCAAGGAGGCCGTGTCCATTCTTAAAGCGGTCAGTTAGCTGTTCATTAAAACATTTAGCATTGTGAGCATTTTTTAGTCCACTTCCTAGTCCACTTAGCTGGGAACAGAGTCTACCTGAACATAGATTGGTCTGAGATAGTTTACAGTTTAACTGTATTACAGTTTGTGTCCAGTCAGAACAAAATCCATACTCCCACAAGAGAAAAATCCAGGGTTTGTGCTTGCATGATAACATAATTGGTGGTAAATTTGCACGTTAATTAAGGAACAGACATGCAAACTCATCCCGCTGCTACTACTTCAAGTTCTAATTATTGCAAAGCCTAAAAAACCAACTAATCTTTAAAACAGGTCCATACTCATTTGCTGAAGTATCTTCAGAGGTGATTCCTCTTCCTCTCACGTCTACTATTCCTCAGGCTTTTTACAAATCCACCAATATGGTATAGGTCAACTACACACTCACACATTTAAACCTCCCTTTAGCACAACCTCACTGAGCCTTGACCACATGTGTCCTAGTTGTTCTGTTTTTTCCTTCGTATTTCTTTGCCTTTACCTTGTGCTTTCTTAAGTAATGAGTTTCGTTATGAGCATGGAATCTCTGCACATTATGAAGAATTCTAATAATATCCAGCCCTAATGGACTAATGGGCTGTTACAGATCCAAAATAAGAATCCACTAAGGACTCTTAAACGTTGATGTTTTTTCCATTTATGCATCAGTTCTTGTGTTTATTTGCTTCTGTCCTCTGCTTGTTTTGTGTTTTTATACGCTATGTCTTTCCCTTAGTTTTGTGTTTGTCTCATTCTCAGTGTCACATGTGAGTGAGGATGCTGGTTTTTTTTAGTGTCATATGTTGATCCATGTATCCTCCTCTGAAAGAACGTTGGACAATTTCCGTTATGTTTTAATCCATTACTTTTTTTGTGTGTTATTGGTTGTGGGTGTGTGTGGGTGTGTAATGCCACTTGACCATTCTTTATTTGTTTGTCCAGTTTTTCCATCACAAGCCTTGCGTTTACCTTGGCTGTTGACTGCAAAGCCTTGTGGGAAAGTGTGTGTGTTTATGTTGGACAATGTCTTGGACTCTGACCGGTCACTTGACCAGCACACTGGGCTCTGATTGGACATGTCCTCCAACTGAAAGACTTCGGGTCACGGAATAAAGTCTCTCGGCTAAGTCTAATGGCTGAGCAGCTCGTTCACCACTCATCCAGAATTCAAGTATTTGCAGAAAATCCAGCAGAAAATGTCAGGCAAAGGAGGCGTTTTATAGAGAGTATCTTTCTAAGGCACAGAATTATCTCTTTTTTAAAATGTTGACATCATTTAAAGTCTTTGTGATAAATTAAACATTGTAACAAGTGAAAAAAGGGATTTTGAATTTACTTTTTCTCCCCGTGCTTGTTTGTTAGCAAATAGTAATCTACAAAAATATTCAAGAAGCAAGCTTTTAATTTAATTTAATTTAGCAAGCGCTGAATTTAATGTTGCCATTTCATCAGTTTTAGGTGTTGTCTGGTTACTGCTCTCTGTAAGCCAGTGTCTGTTGAGTTTTGCATGGAGATAAAACTGAGACCCAAACTGGGCCTGTGCCTGCACCTTTAAAATGTGCAACATGTAATGCCTAGCCACCTGCTCCAAAGAAATAAGCAGCATTTCAACTCTACTACTGGGTTCATACAATCTAAATTCACAGTCATCAGTTATATTAAAAAAAGCGAACTACTAACTAACAGAAATATACATAAAACTCTTGAGAGCCATGCAGTCAAAATAACACTGCTATCTTATAATCCTCACTTGTATTAATGACTGTTAGCTCATTAGGATTACGTATCTATAATGAGTTGCATGATTGAAGATGATTAGCACAAAATACCAAAACCTGGAGTTGTTCCGATGCCAGTGTGCAATTCTATGCCCCGATCCAAAATCACGTTGTCATATCATTTATCAGCTCATTGACGATACAAAGGAACAACAACAGCACATGTCACTTACTTGCCACCTGATCCATATACCCTGCCTGATCGGTACTGCCCATGTGCAAGCTAGTACTACACGCTCTCGTTCACCCTATTTGTTCCCTGATAATGATGCACTGTAAACAACAAATTTTTCTTTCTTTCTGTCACTTCTCAGTTCATGACCAAGAGTCCGAACAAGCGTCTGGGCTGTGTGGTGGCTCAGGGTCTGGAGGAGGCCATTAAGCTCCACGTGTTCTTCAGAGAGATCGACTGGACGCTGCTGGAGCAGAGGAAAATCCGACCACCATTCAAACCACGCATCGTGAGTTCACACACTCACGGAAACACACACCGGATTACTGTGCAACTGTGAAAAATGGGTTCTGTTTGAAAGAGGGAGAGCCTAAAATATGAACATTATTACATTATTACAATCCTTTACCAGCAACTGATAATAAAATGTACTCATGGTTAACAGTTTATATTTTCGGTTGCAAAAAGCTCATTTTAAAATAACTAAACATTTGACCTTTTCTTAGACTGCTTATTCTACCAGTCGTCAAAGGTCCTGAGGCTGAAATCCGTCTCTCTTGTTCTTTGTCTTCCAGAAAACCAAAAGGGACGTGAATAACTTTGACCAGGACTTTACACGAGAAGAACCCAACCTGACACCGGTGGAAGACAACATCATCAAGCAGATCAATCAAGATGAGTTTAAAGGTTTCTCCTACTTTGGAGACGAGACTGTGGCCTAGACACACACACACACACACCCTGACACACAGATAATTAACACATTAATATACACCACCACACCTAAAAATATCTTCGAGCTAAGATGTAATATTTGAAGAAACACACGGCCTGAGACCTCCTGAATTTCTCCAGATCGTGACCTCTCCAGGACTTATACTAGACCATCGGTATCTCTCTCTCTTCATGGTTTCTGTGCTCTTGTTGTTTGTCCATTTGTGCATATGCCATCAAAGTATATGCTCAAGCGGCATGCAAGTGCAGGTCAGAAGCTGTAAGAAATGCTCCTTATCTTGGTCCGGATGCATTTCTAAAGCAGCGGACAAAACTGAACTCTGTGTTTTCAGAGGGGTCTTTTGAAGTAGATACAGGGGCAAGGTCACGGCCTGTGAGTGTGCCCGTGTGTCTGTGTGTGTGTGTGTGTGTGAGAGCGAGATAATGTAAGGGCAAGTGTGCATGCATGCATAGTTGCATACTGTACCTCTAGAAAGAGCAAGACTGTCATTTCTGTACGTGATGTGCTGTATCCTGTGTCTCTCTCCGTGTTTAAAGAATGTTTTTCTTCTTCTCTAAACTTCTATGTGAATGGAAAACAAAATGTATATGTTGAACCAATGATTGTATTTAAAGAAAATGGTCTTGAATTTTTTTTTTTCAAATGAAGGTTTTGTCAGTGCTGTGTTATAAATTTGACAGCCAAACTGGCAAATTCAAAGTTAACTTTAGAAGGTGCCCGGCGAAACATTGGAATTTTAAGGTTTGAGCTTAGTTTTATCTCAGCAGTTCTTGTCTGAGCTGTTTTCCTTCTCTCTCCACATTTGAGCTTGTTAGTATATTGACGTCCCTTTCTTCATTCAAAACCAAAGGGTACCATTAGCCGTCAGCTAACAGACCGTGGCTGACCACTCGGTGTGTCCTGTTGTAGTGAGTCATGCTTGCAGTGTTAACAAGCTGGTTCCCATACGACTTGATGTTTGACATCGGGACAGTTGTCCTATGAAGCCAAATATAGAGCTGAAATCGAAAATGTCAAAGGAGCCCTTTAAAAAGTCCTTGTTACTGAAACTCTCACTGCACCTCCTTAAACTCCTTAAATCCCTTCATGACCACTTGATCGTTGAAATGCCTTGTGTGTGTGTGTGTGTGTGTGTGTGTGTGTGTGTACAGTCACTGGTTAATCGGTCACTGTACTCGACCTACTTCTCTGACATAACAAACCAAACCCTCATGACTCCACATCAAAGTGGTGGATCGTACACAGAGGTGAGTGTGTTCAACTGAATGTATTTGCTTCTGAATGTGTGTGTGTGTGTGTGTGTGTGTGTGTGTGTGTGTGCATCATGTTGTATTTTTTATTTAAAACATCTTTTTGTTGATGTCGTTGTGTTGTTTTTTTACTACCTTCATCTAGTTGTTGATGGCATGTTAGAAATCTTTAGGTTTCATGTGATGGTCAGAGAACTCTTCAGGCCCTCCTCCTCTTTGCCCCGCCCGGACATGGAGGTCAGATAAGCTGGTGTTCAGAGGCGCTGCTCAATGTCACAGGTCAGGTTTAGGACTTTATAGTGAACGGAAAAAGAATCCAAACACCTTTCAAAAAACTCCATGTGCAATACTCTGAAAGAGTTTTTTTATGTGTTTGTTAAGTTGTGATGTCTTTCTTCTTATCTTCCTCTTGTTTCGCTTCATCCTCATCCACAGACAGGTACAGAGGAGAGTGCTTTACAGTTAGTTTAAGGCCACATAAAAGTGATTGTTATTTCATATATATGTTCTCAAAAGTGCAAGTAGTGGGAGTATAAGATGTATTAGATACAGTAGCTGTAGGAAGACTAAACACACGCACACAAACGCATGTATGGATAGCGCTGCAGATTTGACGTTGTTTTACTGCCAACCAACTTTCAAAACATAATGTTTCTGCCGTCCATCGTGTCTCTTCTCTTCTGTCTTAATGTGTCTCACGTTGCATCTTTGTTTTTGTCTTTAATTTAAAACAGTTTGTTCCACTACAACCCAAAAAAGTATGTTCTTTCCCCGAAGTCCTCCATGCTAACTGCCAATTGCAATGTCCAAATGTTCCACCCACAATCCCTTTAGCTTAACGTTTTGTGTAGAGTAAAAGAAGAAAATCATGTAGGAAGTTCCATTTCTTTGGTTTACAGGTTGAAGTTAAATTGTGGCCTGAGGTTGATTTCAAACAATGGAGACAGTATTATGATTTAACCTACAGTATCAAACATTCATCTTCCTGGGGTCATATGCAGAATGTTACTCTATGTACGTGTTTCTGTTTTGTTGCGGTCACTGTATTTGTGAAGCTTTGTATGTACAATTTTGTCATCTGACCTGTGTTTTTTTATTTTCATGTGCTTCATTTGTGTTCGAATTTGTTCTTTTCTTTCACGCTGCGTGCCAAATGTACTGTATTTTAAAAGGATGTGAAGATGTATTTTAATTTTTGAAACAAATTAAATATCATGATGCCAGAAAAGATATTTCTGTTTGTTTTGTGTATCATTTTAATTTTTCGTTTTATTCATCTGAATCTCCTCCTGTCTACCTCCTCTCAGTGCCAACTGATGTTAGCCTATATTAGCTTAGTTCAGTGGCGGGCCGTGTATTTTATACCTGGGCCTTCTGTGCTGTCCTACTGAGCTACGGTTATTTGTTTCTATTGGTGTAATAATACACGTATTCGTATTAAACCGTTTGCTACGAGGCTTACGAACCGAACAATACGTTTGAATAATACTAGTGCATTTGGAAAATGCAGAAGCTTAAATTGTGGGAAATATAATGTTTTCGGTGGACTGCGCTCACGTAACAGACAACGGGATGTGTGACCTTTTGAACCCGGAACAATAACAAAAAAACGAAATAACCCCGCGATGACGGGATGCTTCGTCATTAACTGACAAGTCAGAATCAATGTAATTATCACAATGACAAGAACCAGTCACATAAAATGTCAAGCATGACAAATCAATCCAGCAACACTGCAGCGCTAGAGCGCGAGCCCTTCATATTATTCATAAAAATGGGAACACAAATTATAATAGATGTAGTGTATTTGTGAAAAATTATAAAATAGCTATAACTTTGTAAAAAAAACGTTTAATTTACTTATTTTTATTTTAAATACATTGCTGTATTTTTCAATGTTCAAGACCACAACTTGAACTTTCAGGTTCACATTGTTTTTTTTCAAATGAACAAAACTTTCGACCTGGATTTAGCTCCATACATACATGCTCACATCTGGTCTGTCATGAACGCTCATGAGGAGGCTGCTTTCATCTCATCGTTTAATTTAATTATGAGCAAACTACAGACGAGTTTAAATAAATGAAGCCGCTCTCTATGTCTGCTACACTTCTTACTGTCAAGTCTTACTATGATGTGCAAAGTCTGTGCACAAACACCCTGCTGTTGATTGACAGCTGAGGAGGGAGTAGAGACCATAGATGTGTTTTGGTGAGGTGAACAAGTTCGAAAGGTAAAAAAAAGAAAAACTTGGAGCTTGGAAATGTCAGTGTGTAGCAGCCAACCTGTTCTTTTCCATAGCAATGTTACCCACCTCTCTATCGCCACACATGTGTTTTCAGAGGATAATTCCTTTAAAGCATAACTGCTATAAATAAAATTCAAAATATCATCATTATGGCTTTCATACAGCATTGTAGCCTAAAGGCCCATTTGTATCATTTTACTGGCGGGAACGGACCTCCATGCTGACATCGTTTACAGCCTGTTGCAACTCAGGTACACTCAGGTAAGTGAGCAGCGCACACAGGGGAGGGCGGGGCTGTTTAGAGGGAGGGGGGGGCAGTTTAGAGGGAGGGGGGCAGTTCCCGGCTGCGTTTCCAGCCAATCACGGCGCGCGGACCTGGACAGCGGCTTTCACTTGTGCCAGCTGAGCTCCAGGTCCAGAGACCGACCGGAGAGCTCTGCGGGTTTTTCACAGATCAGCAAAGCGAGGAAAAAGAAAAAGAGAGAAAAAAGTTTTCGCGCGTGGACCTGCGGTGCGGCTTCTGTCAGCAACAGCAGCTTCCAGCCCCAGCCGGTGTAAAGAGGGGGTGGTGTGGGTGTCTCTTCTGCGGGTAAGAGGCTGTGCAATCCTCGGCAGTGTTCTGAGACTGTACGGCTCCCGATCCCGATCACCGTGAGCCTGGTGGACTAACCTAACCTACAGGGTTTTAATGACATGATCTGTCAGAGGACTTCTGACCCGCGCACATCGATATAATAAAAAACCTACAGGTGTTACTTCTTTTGACTTCTAAAGTCGGACTTAACCTAGACTGTCGGGGAATTACAACAGCAGATAAAAACATGACGGCCGATAAGGATAAAAAGAGGTAAGACTTTCCCTTTCTTTCTTTTATTCCCACGTTTTGCGCAACTTGTGTTGGTTTGGTGCTCAGATCGCGGCTGTCAGTTGGCCTCTCTGGCGCAGACCTGTTGCAGCAGAGCCGCATGTGACTTGGCCCGCGGTTCTGCTAAGATTGCGGTTGCTGCAAATCAGTCACAGTCTATGGATTCATGTGCAAACTTTTTTTTTTTTTTTAATGCAACGACCGCACGTTGGTAGTGATTAGACGTGTTTAAGGTGATTGGGTGATTTGAGTCTGTGCTTGGCAGGAAATTCAGTCTGCTACAGGTTGTCAGTGTGATAAACCAGATTTAAGTCTGATTTTGGACATTTTTAAATTCCATACAACCTTAAAGGCTTATAAGACTTGTTTGTTATGACCAAAAACATGCAAAATGTATAACTGCACTAAATTCTACCTCCTTCAGGTGGAGGATATTCCATCATGCCTCTATTATATCTAATGTGTTTACTCCTCTAAGGATAAATACTTAAAACTTTTAAATCCAAATAAAGCCTTTCCTCTGGTAACTCTTTCCATACTAAGGTTCCCTCTAAATAAATGAGCTTTTATCTGATTATTGGTGAACAGTTTTGTGGATATGTAGCTGAGCGGCGGCTCAGGGTTCAGAAAGTACAACACTTGTGTTTTTTCTTTTTGAATGAAAGCTGTGATTTGTCAACATGAAGCTTCAGTTTCCTGCAGGTTCAGACAGGACATCGTACCTCTGCATAGAGGATGCTTACCAGACAGTTGAACTACCACAACAGCCTTGCATGTTGAGGTAACTGTGTTTAAAAATCTATTAATAGAAATGTTTAAATAGAGCCTGTCAGAGATAGACCATATTAATTGTTTTTCTATCAATAAAGCTGCCCTTTCAGAAGAGAATCTAAGTTCCTAACGTGGAACCTCCTTTCAGAGACAATAACTAATCAGTCATTGCAGCAGATATCAGACTGCTCCGTCAGGACATTTCTAGAACTTGCGGTAGCCGCATGTCTGCTTTCCTGTCGAGGAGATTGCAGCTGGTTAATCACCACTTGCAGTTCTGCTAGATCTGAAAAACTGCATCTATTTATTTGGGGATTTAATTCATGCTGCCTTTATTTAATTTTGTCTGCTTAGTCAGCTGATGCACCAGATAAAGTTTTGTACTAAAACCAGCTTATCACACAGTGAATTACATTGTAAAAGATACTTGGGATATTTGGATTGAAATACTTGATGCTTCGTAATCATAATTTATACATTTGTCAATATGTTGTAGGTGCATGTTCCTCATTTCAAACAACTACTTTATTGTGATTGTTTCTTCCTAAGTGCCGATTTTCGGTTTCGGTGAGGTCATGGACCTAATCTTGCGTAATAACGCTGTACTGGTTCCAGCTTGTCCCAGTTTGTGTCGCCATAACAGCTGCTTCATCAAAGGGAGAGAAGTACCGTCTCACCTGTGTGGAAAATCCTTCATTTAATCGACTGTGTCTGTACAATCACATCGTAAAAAAAACAATGTTTAATATGAAACATGGAAAAAGCAGATGGGACGTTTAATAATCAAGAGATTCAAACTGTTCGCTCAGTTTATTCGAAACTGAGCGAACAAAAATCTTCAACCTTCACACCACTAAGAGAAGAACATTGATTCGAATCAGCAGAGTTGGGTTTGACTTCTGCTTTCTTGTCCGTCCAGATTTTTATCATTTTGTTTTGCTAATTTAATGGTCTGCCTCTTTGAGAATCCCCAGTATAATGGAGGGACTTGGTAGCTGAATGTGTATGCTAGGTAACCAGAATGTCCCTGGTTCCTGGGACATTTGTTGCATGTCATACCCCTAATAAAGCCACAAAAAGCCCCCCCCCAAAAAATCCCAAATAGGTGATTTTGGATTCTCTTTTTGAAACAAACTCTTCCCCGATTGCATTCGCTGAAAATGGCGCGTGAGTTGGGACTCACCTGCACAAAAACATAACTGCAATATCTGGTTGTCGGGCATGCCGGGTGGAACATTTGAACATATCTGCCAACCCTATCAGGTGTTAAGACACATGACAGAGACACTGGACTCCGTGTCATCGGCGATGAAAGTGAGACAACAACATTAGGAGACAGAAAGTCCACGATCGTCTTCCTCTGGCTCGTCGGCGCCTTGGCGCCTCCGCCGGAGAGCTTTCGGCCATTTTAGGGGAGGAGATCTGCGAGTGTGTATCCGTCAGGCTGCACATGAAAAGCGTCTCTGTGTGTGTTTGTGTGTATGTGTGTGTGTGTGTGAGTGTGAGAGAGAGAGAGAGAGAGTTCACTAGTTTCTGTCTCCTCAGTGATGTGTGTTTGTATTACACAGTAGCACATTGTCACTGCTGCTGCTGCCTGGAAGTCATAATTGCTCTGAGAAGTTGTATGACTCATAACGGGCTGCCCGGCAATCACAGCTGTAGTCGAGTTCCTGTCAAATATCTTACTTCCCTGTATAAGGACACCTCAGATTGCATCATTACACCGCTGTCACCTGTCACAGCAAAAAACAGTAGCTTCAAACCATCATATCTGAAGTTACAACCTCTGTTTAAACACTCCAGTGGTTGTTGTGCGCTGTCACAGCTTTACTCAGCTTTTACCACAATGTGACGCAGTAACACATCAGCAGTGTCTCTCACCTCACTTTCCCACCGCTGACTTTACAACCTAGCTTTATGTAAATTATGGTTTATGTATTTTAGACCAATAAGGGTCAGTATAAAGATTGCATAATGTTCGATACAGTACATCAAAGTTGTAGGTATTTAAAGGGCCAGTGTGTATGATTTAGGAGATCTATGAGCAGAAATGTAATATTACATTCATAACTATGTTTTCATTAGTGTACAATCCCCATATAACTCATGAGAAGAGAGCAAGTTGCCAAAAACAAGTCGGAGAGAACCGAAGGGGAGGACAGGTAGTTGTTAAACATAAGTGAAGCAGCTCTGGCATCGCGTCGGTCTGTTCATGCCTGTCAACTCAGCGGTTCACATTATCGCAGCGCACTGCGGCGAGCCGAGGCCTGGTTGGCACGGAGCCGCTAACCCCCTGCCAGCCCGGCCTCCCAACACTACCCAAACATCACGCCACTTACAGCAGCCGCTCAGACTGAAACACGGAGAGCGTGAAGCCCAATATGTCTCCAATGAGGGGCTTTATTGTGTCTTGTAGACAGAAAGAGAGGTAGCACATAAAGTGCATGGACTCAAGTATTGTGCTTCAGGACAGTTTTAAGTTCTGGTTCCAGGGTGTTTGCATTACTCCTCTATATTTCAAAATAAAATAGTAATTCAGCTTTCACATTAAGCATGAGATATGATCATAATATTTTCTTTCTTTGTGATTTTTTTTTTTGTCATTAAATCTTTGCCATCCAATTCAACTCAAGCAAATTCTTATTTTTAAGGGCTGCAACCAACAATTATTATTATTATCATTGATTCATTTCTTTGATTCACGTTGCATCTCATGATGTTTCTCATCCTGACATTCGTCTGCTGAGTAATCGGTTTGTTTCGGGGCTGTGGTGGACATGGAGTTTACCAAAACCAGTGTGCTGGATCAATTTGGGGAAAGCAGTTGGACCTCTGCATGACAAAGCTGGGAAATGAACCCTTGGACAACACTGAGGTTTTACTTTTGGTTTGATGACTTACAAGTATCAGTCTGTAATGATTTCCAGAGCAAAGCTGAACCTTGTGACAGGTCGATAGATGTCAGGCAGCAACAGAATACCTTACTTTTCCCAAAAGAAACCCACAAATCATTGATTCAGCTCAAAACGTGTGATTGTATCCATGTTTAGATTCTTGTTGTTTTTTCAGCTGGAATCTGATGAAACAAGCAGCAGCTTTATATCGGCAGCAACATTAAAAGCCACTTCAGTCTGTTTGTCAGTTTTGAATAAGTCTCTCTGTGGTTAAGAATCTTCTACTGTTTGTGTTTAAAGCTCTTATTCCATATGTAGACAAGTGAGAGGAAGATGAAGACGGAAACACAGGGAGTCAATATATAGTGAAGGGGTGAAGTGAGTAAAAGATTTACTGGAGAGAGTGAAGGACCCTGGGTTATTAAGTAGAGCATTGCTAGAGATACAGATGTGTTTCCTAGCTGTGTGATGGACACCAAGTTACGTTTTAACTGAGCCAGCTATTTAACACCTCACTGCTGAGAGCACTTAGAGGACGGGGGAGTAATACAGGCTTTAAAAGGCTCATTTGGTGTTTTTAAGTGAAGCTTTCAGAAATTGAATTTTTCTGTACTGTTTTCATGTTATTGTCTGCTTATTGAATTAATCTTTTTGATGCTTTTCACTGAACATCCATGGATTTTTTTTTCTAACAAGAAACAGATGTTATCCTAGATCAAAAATAAACATACATTTCAGATTTTTTTTTTGTTGAGCCCAATAAAAGAAATATTCAAACACATTGTGTAGCGTAACTTTGCATAATGTAAAAGCTCAATGTAATAATCAGCACATAATGTAAGAAAACCATGCGCGTATAACGTATTCAAAATGCTGTGCATGTAATAAGTTATTACACTATGCACAAAATGATTAAAGGGTTCCTATTCTTTAATCCGTCCGTCTGTCCGTTCTCTTCTGCTTATCCGGGCCTCGGTGATAATAAAATCTAAATGAATTTGAGCGACAGACAAAGTGAGAAGTGTTGTTATTGTACACAACAGTAGAAATCAAACTGTATGTCCTGATATTAAACATACTGGTGGTGAACCTGAGGCCCCGTGGAGCCCGGAGGCCCTCTGGTAAGCTGTAAACTTTGGCCCCCGCACACTGAGGGGAAACAGCAGGGGGTGACGAAGTGGTCTGGGAAACCTCTCTGCATCTTTCCACTGTTATTTTTGTCTCACTCATTCTCACCCGCCCACTCCTCCTCGGGCTTTCCGTCTTTGTTTTTTTTCTTTGTGTCTTTTTGCTCATATCACACTCGCTCACATTAAT